GATGGTCTACTGTTACAGGAAGATCGCAGCAGCTGGAGAGGAAGCTCTGAGAGAGAGCGAGTGAGTCACATGTCTTCACATTTCCATTTTCCTCAGACTTCCATTCTCTTTGCTCTTCCTTAATAACAAACACCTGTCTGCCTTGTTAGGGACCTTTAGGGATGTCCTATTAAAACAGTAAATATGGACGAAACATGTTGAAGGGTGTATTTGTATACCACCCTAAACAGACAAGAAAGTCTGTAGAGTTTATATGGTAAAAGTTAATTTTGCTAACTTAGCATATAGCTTATACACTCTTAAAAAGAAAAGTTCCTTTATTGGCATCAATGGTTCAATGAAGAACCTTTAATATCCATGGAACCTTTCCATTCCACAAAAGATTCTTCATAATGGAAAAATGCTCTTTAGATTTTTTTAATGTTCTTCACGCCAAGAAAAAAAAAGAAGTTTTTTTTAGAACGTTTCTCTGAAAGGTTCTTTGGGGAATCAAAATTGGTGCTTCTGTGGCAATGCTGAGAAAACCATTGTTTTTAAAGGAAAAGTTCACCCAAAAATGATAACTTACTGAAAATGTACTCACCCTCAGGCCATCCAGGATGTAGATGAGATGAGTTTCTTCATCGGAACAGATTTTGAGAAATTTAGCATTACATCACTTACTCCCAAATGGAACCTCTGCAGTGAATGGGTGCCGTCAGAATGAGAGCACAAACAGCTGATAAAAACATCACAATAATCCACAAGACTCCAGTCCATTAATTAAAATCTTGTGAAGTGAAAAGCTGGGTTCCAAGCTAATAAACATGCACCGAAAACTTTAAAACATCAATTTCAAGTTCTCGTTGCTGTTCTTTTCTTTATTACCTTTTCTGTCCCTTCTGCCTTTCTTTCCCTCCTTCCGTTCTCTTAGGGCGGAATATTTAGCTATAACCTCGGAGAGCAAAGATAATTCTGTAGGTGTAGCGGTGGCAGAATAACACAGGTGGGTTAGTTAAATGTAACTATTATGGTCACATCTGGACTTTTCTGAATTACAAATCAGCTTAACAATCTGCCTTTTGTTTCATTTCAGGACCAAAAAAAGTCTCAAGTCAAAAGCTTGACGCTCTGTCCATCATGGCATCACCAATGGCCTCCTCGGTCACCCTCACCGGCTCTCTGTGAAACCACAGGGCTGCTGTTTTTACCGTTGTGTACGACTGTGACAGAACCGCCATTCTAAACCATCAGGGAAACACACAGTCACACATTACATAAAAAGGAAATGTTTTGTTTTAAGGCTCTAGATGACAACTTTGAGGTTAACGAATGAATGATGCATTCACTGGTTCAAGCATGAATCTGTAACACTTAACAGAACACTGAACTTGACTTGTACATACGTGTTTGAGCTTTTAACATCTCTTTGCTGTTTCCACATAATGAAAACTCAGCTTTACTTGGATAAAACTGTCACCACAGTATATCTACTGAGCCAGAGGACATCACAACATATTATAATGTGTATAAAAATCACTAGTATATTTACTGAGTCAGAGAGAAAAAAACAACACCATAAGAACGGTCAAATACAATATGTGAAAACATATCTATTTATATCATTATTTAAATATCAAAAATACATATCAATAAAAAATAAAAACAATATATATAAACTTAGTTATAGCCTATATATATATTAGGAGTGTAACGGTACACATATTTGTAGCGAAAATTCTTAAAATTGAGAGCTTCAAACTAACTCGTCTGTCAGATGTGTTATTTAAGGCATTGAAGACCTGTTTACATCAGCATAACTTACATCTTAATCTGTAAATGTCAAACAGACAGCACAACAGTGCAATAATTCTGACCGAAATATACATTTTGCTAAAATATGTTCCAAAAGAGGAAGCACTTCAAATTTCTTCCCTTCTTTAGAACAAAACCATAAAGTGCATCACGATTTTTTTCCTAACAGAACAGTCTGGTTTGTTCAGTAAAGCACTGTTTATTAAAAAGAGCAGCGTTACGTTGAGTAAAATTGCTCATGACATCATGACTTCAAAACCGAAGTACTTGCCGAGCCTGATATTTGTGTACGTTACACCTCTAATATATAGAGAAATCTCATGTTTGGCAGTTGGGGACTGTGATTAGCCTTACATAGCGAATGCCAACAACTATTAAATGGTTAGTTCACCCAAAAATGAAAATTAGCCCACAAATTACTCACCCTCAAGTCATTCTATGACTTTCTTCTTTCAGACGACAGTCCTACATGGAAGCAGCTCCGGGTGGATGTCGTATGAGGTCAGCTTTGCGCATGCGCCACTCAGAAGTGACGAACGCGGAAGCGCAGCGGAGAGATCAAAACAAAACAACGGTCACTAATTAGAAGTACAAAACGAGAATTTGTTAAGAAGAATTTCGGAGGATTTCGATATAAGCCAAGAGGAGACTGGTTTTCCTTTGCTAAAGTAAAGTAAGGAAACTTTGCTTCCTTTGCTCCTGTTAACAAACGTTGGTTTTCACGAGGCTCACCTGCGCATGCGCAACGCTGAACTCATACGTCATCCGCCCGGAACTGCTTCCGTGTACAACTTTTGGCACAAGCTACATTAAAGTGATTATTACGTTTTGAATATGGATATTTTTCTTACAAAAACGCATCGATTCGCTACAGAAGGCCCTTGTTCACCCCCTGGAGCCGTGTGAGACACTTTTTTTATGGATGGGCGCTTTTTATTTAACTGCTTTTGGACTGATGCGTGCAACACCGGCTGAGTGCCATGAAACAGTTTGAAATATCAAAGACAATTTTTAATATAACTCCGACTGGATTCGTCTGAAAGAAGAAAGTCATATACACCTAGGATGACTTGAGGGTGAGTAATTTGTGGGCTAATTTTCATTTTTGGGTGAACTAACCCTTTAACGCACATTTACAAGAAGAGCTTCCTGTCTGAAAACTGCACCTGCCTATGGTGCAGAATACGGCAAAAAATTCCAAAGAAGAAGAAGAGGAAAACTGCACCTGTCACGTACAGGGGATTTGAACCAGAACAAACTCAACTAACCACTGGTAAGCTAACCATAACTTTTCTCACTGATATGTAATAGCTCACTCAAATTGTCACTGCATCTACAAAACATCACGACCAGCATCCTCTATTTAGTCTTTACTGGCTTGGTATTAAATAGGAAAGATTTTTAGCATTATAAAGCACAAAATATCTGTTCTGGGGAAAAAAGCAGACATTGTGAGTAGCGTATAAAGCTATTCAAATCATTCTCTTAAAAGAAATAATAGAGAAGCAAAAGAATGTCACATGTTAATATCACAGGCGTCAGAAAAGTGCATTGCTGTGTAAGATTCATAGCCGAATTCAACTACCGAAACAAATGTGATAAATATATTATTAACAATGTGCCGTAGAGGATCATTTCTCATGTTTGCCTCACAGTTCCTCCCCTTTTCTTTTTGTCTTCGCTGACGAGATATTCAAGGGCTGCATGAAATCGATTGAGAATGACTTCAAGTTTCAAGTGTGCCTCCTGTAGGAACGATGTTTAAGCCTCTGGCTCTTCGTGCATGATGATTTCAAAAGAAAACAGAACGAGAAAGCAGGAATCAATTGTATTCATTCACAAGCTTCCAGTCTTTCCTCTCCCTCTTAGTAGCCAATTTCTGGTAGTGACTACAGAGGGCAGCACAACACTGCCAAAGTCTCACTGCCTTTATGCATGAATGAACATTCTTGATACTTCCCAGCTCTGGTTTTCTTACTTTTTATATCTTTCATTCGGTGGGTGTTAAATTGGTAGATTTCTACTGCATGATTTTAAATACGCTTTTATGAATACCGTCATAAACACTGACACAGTTGTAACACCGGATCCATTTCATTCTCGTTAACTCCACAGCTGCTGTGATTACTACAACATTGATGGTATCGTACTAACACTTAGATGTCACAGAATATCATCACTGTCTGACAATGTCTGCACCTCTGAGGGAGTCTGTACAGTAACCTAACGGCCGCAACAATTCCATCATCAATTTCATGTTGAAGTGAAAATGTTGCTTGCCAAATAAAATTATGGACAAGATAGTATATAATAAAATATATTTAAAAATACAGCTGATGTGTCTTCTGAAACCTTCATCTCTTGACCTGCATGCATTGATTTTATCAAAAGATTAAGGGTCCATCATAAAGGAAAATACAGCAAAAACAGTAAAACTGTGAAATACTGATACAATTTCAGGAAGATTTGTTATTAAAATCAATTTTAAAGTGTAATTTCTTCCTCTGTTGGCAAAGCTGAATTTTCAGCTTCATTACTCCAGTCTTCAGTGTCACATGATCCTTCTGTAATCATTCTAATATGCTGATTTGCTGCTCAAGAAACATCTCTTATTTTTCAATGTTATAAACAATTTTTTTGCTGCTTAACTTTTTTTGGGTGGAAATCATGATACACTACCATTCAAAAGTTTGGGGTGAGTAAAAAAAAAAAAAAAAAAAAGTATACTTTCATTTAGCAAGGACATTAAATTGGTCAAAGGTGACACTACAGTAGACAATTATACACCGTTCATTGGACTTTACATTTAAAGAATCCCTTAAAAAAAAATTGCAACATTGATAAGGATCACTAATGATAATTTAGCACCAATAACATGAGCAATGAGCATACAAAATCATAATCATACCAACTTTCCCACTGCTCAGGAGGTATTAACCTGTGAAAAAGGAAATTATCCAATCAGTAATACACACATAATATAAATTTTTTTTGGCATTTTTTATGAAACATTTGTGACTGTCACAAGTCGCCTTTACAATTGTGTCTATACAATACATCCCACCTTCGCTCTCTCCATCCCTGACCCGAATAAATAGCACATGCTTTCATCACTTAGTAAGGGCTTTGCACAGCAGCGCCCGCAGACAGACAGACAGACAGACGACAGACAGACAGACTCCGATAATAACACACTCAGAGGAGGGAGAGTTCTCTGAGGCAGAAGGGCACGACAGAGTGAGGCCACAAATACAGGGACAGAAATGAAACGGCTTGACAGGGGACATCAGTAACAGACTGTCCAAATGAAACTGATGAAACAAAGGACAAAAAAATATATGTTTTTTAACTCATAGCCTCTTGGTGAATCTCACAAAGAACATGCACATCATATTTCACATTAAAATCAATACTTTTTTCTGCATTGTGACATTTTTTATTTCAATTCCCATTATTGAGGATAATAAAATAATATATTTTATTTATACCACTTGACAGTATTTGTTTTATGGTTTCTAAATGATGCTAATTTTAATGTAAAATAATAATGGTCTGCACAGGATGATTTTCATTATTACATCAGTGAAAATCATAGATAAAATTAATAAAAAATGTAAATTGTGAGGGGTGCTTAACTGCCATGAAATTGGCACAATGCAAAAAATATATAAAAATAAAACAAATAAATAAAAATCTAATCTTTCTATTTTCTTTTGATTTTGAGGTGAAACACAAGACATGTTCTATATGAGACTGGCCTACAGTGTTGAGTGAACTCACAATAGTCCTCCTGAGTTCTGGTTGGTCCCAAATGTCCAGTCTGAGGAACGACTGAAGTTCTTCGATCTGTGTACACGTTATAGCTAATATAAGCTAATAGTAACCCTGAACAGTTCAAGTTTTATTCCAGTGAAACTCGACACCTCAACTACACAAAAGAGCTCATTTCACCCCTAAGTCATAAATACACGGATTTAAAACAAAAATAATAACCAAAATATTAGGGAGAAAGAAGAAATGGTTAAAATTGTAACTATTGTAACCAACCATGTAAGTGTGTAAAAACAATCTTCACTCTGGAACTCTAACCTAAGTAACAGTTGCACATTTGACTTTTTTTTGCATTCTTTCTTGTAGATTAACTTCTAATTGTCATTACAATTTTTCCACATGATTATTGCTAAAATAGGAATTCATATTAATACCACTCGTTCCACCCATTTCCACATTGGTCCTTGTTTGAGCAGAAACACACAATGACGTTAGACTGTAATTCAAGTCTACAAAATAAATACTGTAATGGTCTGACACACTCTAAAGAAGTTTCAGTTTCAGCTCTGAAATCAGCAAAACAGTAACATAACACAAGAGAAAATTTACATTTCTCTTCCATGAAAACATTAAAATAACATTTGTGAAATCACCAGTTGAGAGGTCTCTCAGAGGCTGATTTCAGACACTTCCCTCTTTGAAATCTTTAACAGCTCTTTTTTGATGAAATTCAGTTTTCTAAAAACTCACCTTCAGCTTTTTCAGACATGCAGTAGGACCAAACGGCTCAAGATGCAGCACAGCTGAAGTCACAGATGCTCCCGTTCATGTGTGTTATTGCTTCAGACCCAGAGTTCATGATATTCCGATTGATAAAAGAGTTGAATGTGTTTTATACAGCTAGTATAAAGTCCTGTAGCTGCTGTTGGGACACTTGGGTAAGATAAAAGATACCCACATCAATCCCAATGTTAATGTCACTGAGTTGAGCACCATCTCCCGTCCATGATTTAGCCCCTCATGGACGGCTATGTCACGGGGACCAGAGTCTGTAAACGGTAGGGTGAAGGGGTTACCTTACGCTCTCACTGATCCGTCAGAGTTCCTGGTTCTGATTCAGACTCATGCTGCACCTCTGGTGTGATCATTCCTCTGTTGAGCTTCTCCAGAGACTGTTTCATCTACATGAAAGAGGAAATCAAAATAACCCTTTTTACTTTCATAAGAAAGGTACTTTGTCTTATTTGCACACAGTTTATCATTGCTATAGATATTAAAAGCCAATATCCTAAGCCTAAGCTGGTTTGTCGCTCCAGCCTGTTTATACAGGTCTGTTTTTTAAGGGGTTTTTGACACTTTAGTGACACCACTGATCCAGCTATTAATTTACTGGGGAAATTTCTGTCAAAGAAGCCAGAACTGTTTTCATTCTGTCACGGAATTTATTATTCCAGAAACAAATGAATCCTTCTCTACCTCCGAGATGTCTTTTACTTCATGCATTAACAGCTCAAATCTGAATAAATAAACTCATCTGGAAATATGCTCAAAAAGTTGATGCTTTATTCTGACTGGTCAATCACAGCATTCTGCAGTCAAATATTTGTACATCTTGCTGAAAAACTGCTAGTTTGATGCTTCTCATCACTTGACACTCACTTTTGTCTCAAATAATACAATAATTTAAACTTAAATCAATATATCATATCCATTTATTGACGTTTTTGGCTAGTGGACATGTAAAAAGTGGGATAAATTTAAAGTAGTGGTCGACCGATATTGGTTTTTTGACAGCCGATGCCGATATCTTGGAAAGCATGGTGGCTGATGGCCGATATAATTTTATTTATTTTAATTGATATTTAAGAAATTTTAAATAATTTGAAAATTGATTAAAAAATAAATGTGTTAAATAAACATACTTATACTTTAGATGACAAAGTATTTTCACATATAAATAAATATTTAATAAAAATATAATTAAAAAGGAAGTAAACGCTCTAACCAACAGGGCACTCTGTATTCTGGGACGTTTGTGTGCATTAATATAAAAGCAGTCGTTATAAGATTTTTTGTATACATTTTAATTCCTTTGTTTAACCTTTCTATCTGATTATTAGACAGACTTCTATCCGTATTTAGACAGAACTGTTAACGACAACGGCGAACAAGAGGGAGAATGTGAGCACTGTGTGCCCAGGCACTGCCGCAGCCGTTCTCGGCACCGTCAAAATAAAAATCCGTCGCAACGTCAAAATAAAAGTCCCGCCTCGAACGCATCGGCCAAACAGGAAAATTTATCAGCCGATGCCGATATTTAAAAAATGCCAAATATTGGCCGATATATCGGTCGACCACTAATTTAAAGCATGACCCAAAATGACCAACTTTATCCCTTAATAAATGCACCGCAAAATCTATTTTGTGTTGCCTTTAACTTCTAAAAAAGTACCCAACACTGAAAAACATTACAAAAGTGTTGATGTGCTGGTCATGTTATCTATTCTGGTCACGATTTCTAGTCATTTTTCTGATTCAATACAGAATTATAGAACAAAATGTGCACTTCCAATCTCAAGAAAGAGTAATAAAAAGACTAAATATTCACAGACTGATTGACAGACAGATTGTTATTACTTCTAATTTGTTTTCAGCAAATGCAACGTTTCGACATCTCAAGTTCTGCTCAGGAACACACCTGATCCAGAAGTGTGACAGAAGACTGTAGGATCTGATGCCATTTGTTTATCTGGGCCTGGTGGAACTGCCTCTGGAGCTGCAGGATCTGCACCCACTCTCCTGCCGTCTGCGGAAGAGGACTGCGGAGAGAAAGAGTACTGAATCAGCATGCTGAAAAGCAGCGTGTGTGTACAGCTACTCAATTAGTTTTACCATACCTGTCCGTTAAAGAGTACGAGTGCCAGGTCTCCAGCGTGTGTGCGGCCCGCTCCAGCGCCCAGAGTTTGTAGAACAGCATCATGTTCAGAGCCACCAGAACCACCAAACTGAAGGAAGATGAGAGAAGAGATTTCAATATAGTCATCTATGCTCAGTGATGTCATAGCAATGGTGAACCGGTCATGAAAAAGTGTGTGTGCGTTTTTCTTGAAGTACAAAGACAGTCTCTACCTGACACAGATCCTATATGCAGTAGGAAGCGAGTAAAGCGACATGAGAGAGAGAGAGAGAGGATCAGCAAGGAGACATATTAGGACACGAAAGAAAGGAGGAACAGAAAAACACACTAACTAGGATGTGATATTACTATGCACGGAAAAGTGTTAAGTGTGTTAAAAGGGATAGTTCACTCGTATATCATATACTCACCCTCATGTCATTGTTTTTTTCTTCAGTGGAACCCAAAATAAGATATTTTATAGCATGTCTAGTCTTCTTTTTTTATACAATGAAAGTGGATGGGGACTGGATATGCTATGCTCTAAAAAGTAGTCTATATGACTTGTATGCCTTATTCCAAGTTTTCTGAAGCCGTATAATAGCTTTCTAAAAATATACTGAATTTTACTGAAAAACGTACAGTGAAAGCCCCAGTCCCCATCTGCTTTCATTGTACAGAAAAATGCAGCAGGACAATTCTGCTAAACATGTCTTTTTGTGTTACACAGAAGATAAAAACCCATGCAGGCTTCAAATGACATGAGGACACGAGTAAAATATGGCAGCATTTTCTTTTTTTTGTGATGAAATGATTCATAGGCTTCACGCTGATCTTAAAAATAAACAATATCAAAACGTGTCATCCAATGAGGCAGTCATCATTACGGTTCTGCTCTTGAGAAATCAGAGCCGAGCTTCATGTGCAGAAAAAGAAGCCACTACTGTAGTGATGACAACCTGGCAGTCTCAATGAGCTCAGATTGAATCAGGTGTTAATGTTGAAATTACAAATGCATGCAGAGTAATATTTACAGACTGCCAAAGGTGAAAACACTCACATAAAGCTCACGATGAGCAGGATGGTGGAGATGCTATTGTTGCTGTTGCCGGCTCCACGCCACCTTTCCCCTAATTTCACATACTGAGCACCTGGAGAACAGGAAAATGACTCATTAGCAGGCATGTGATCAGAAAAGGAAAAAAAGAAAAAAAAAAACCTGAATTATATATTATATAAAATTATTATATAATTATTGAACAATTCAAAGACTACTATAGCAATATTAGTAATTTACTATAAATTTTATAAAAAAAAATTATTATTATTATCATTATTTATTTATTTTACAGAACAACAGTAAAATTACAATAGTAATATTTATGGCTAAATAAATATAATTTAATATTTAAATATTAAATAGTAAAATTTAAATACATAATTTACAAAAGGAAAACCTAAATTATTATTATACAAAATATTAGTTTTACTTTATTAAATTATATGATTATTCATTATAAATCAATAAAGACATACTATTACTGTAATATTTTTTAAAGTATTTAACAATAATAATAATCATACTTTATTTTATTTTATAGAACAGTAGTAAAATTATGATACAACTATTTATGACATTAAAACTATAGAGCTGTTCTTTATATTACTAAGATTTTTTTTTTTTGGTCAAATTTACACAAATCACGTTGGTCATACTTCGCAGGTCGAAAAATTCACACATCTTTTTATTCCAGTAAAAGCATAATGTTATTATTGTTATCATTATCATATATTTAAATATTTTTATTAAAAATATTAATTTTATCAAATTTAAAAATTATTAAAAAATGAAAGACATTTTACTATTGCAATAATAGCATTGTACTGTAAAATAAAATTCAGCATTTAATAAAAATAACAATATAATTTATTTTACAGAACAGCAGTAAAATTACAATGCTAAAATTGATGGTCTCAATTTCTGTCTTTTTCCCCTCAGATTTAATTGAATTTAATTTACGTGGTTCATACTTCTGAGGTCAGAAATTACGGAAATCTGTATAAATACGGAAAAATCACATCCCTGATTAGTCTAGTAAAAGCAATTCCACAATCCACCGCTAGAAGTAAACACATTCCACATGGTCGCGCAAATCAGAATTGACAAAAATCCGTTCTGGTGCTCCCTTGCGTGGACTGACTCACCAGCTTCTCTCCTTTCACGCTCAACTCCAATTCCTCGGTCGCCCCGTTCCCCGGCACCTCCTCCCGCTCCCTCTCTTTCTCTCTCCCGCTCTCCTGCTCGTCTGGGACAGTTGCGTTTGCGTCTGCGCAGGCCGGGTGGCGTCTTGGCAGAGTCTGCAGAAGGCACTACCCCAGTGCTCACTACAGAAATATCCGACTGTAACAGCGTCTCCAGCTTACACACCTCCATCTCTGACGAGGAACGCAGGGGGTGATTTTTAGCACCAATGTCACAACAAATATTTGCATTGAGATGAGAACCTATTTACCCATGTGTCTGTAATACTCCTCAATGCCGCTCCAAGTATTCTTCTCTATCAGAGCTTTCACAAGACTCCACGGCTGCTTTCTGTAGCAGATATCAGACGAGACCCTGCAGACAAACACACAATGGGTCCCTCAGCAGTGTTTGCGTTTGAAGCATAACAATACACACATAACAATGGTCAGGAAGTTCTACCTGAGGCGGCTCTTGTGCTTGTTGACAGAGGTGAGGCAGTATCTGTGTACAGTGTAGAAGTAGTCCTGGTAGGGGATGCCTGAGGTTATGACCTCCGAGTCCACCACGTAACACTCCCCCCGGGTGCTGCTCTTGTGGAGAGTCTGCGCAACATGACAAAATACACAAAACCATCATTAAAGGAGTACTGGGTTCAGTACAAGCTTTGTTTAAAAATGCCTCAATTTGTAAAAACAAAAATCAAGGAAGTAATTTTAAGCACTTTATGTTTATATGTGTTACTAGAGCTGTAAAGGTGGCTAAATTGTCATTTTAGTGGTGGAACTGCTGTTCTATATAAACCATGTAAATCTAACATCTAACATTAACTAATCTCAACTAGGGCTGAATGATTAATCAAAATAAAAATTAAATCATAATATTACCAAATCACAAAGGCTGTGATTTAATTAAAAAAAGAGAAGATTTAAGGGTTCTCTGCTGTTTTTCACCATATTAAAAAACTTAGTGGTTTAATGATTGAAAAAGAAGAAATTAAAGCAGCCGTTCTGTAGTTATGTTGTTAAATGAGAAATTAAGGTCACAGTTTGTTGTGATAAACAAGGAGGATTTACAAGCACTCACTCTCTTCCTGAGTGTCAGAGGAATTGCTGGGGTCAGTTGGGAGCTCCACATCATTGGTCATATCCAGTGAGGAGAGGTTTCCCAGGCTGTGCGGGACAGTGGGAGGAGACTGAAGTGACTGATTGGCCGATTCTGACTGGCTGTCCCCGCCTTCCTCCAAGATCTATAAAAAGAATAAACACTCTCAAACCAATGCTGTTATTGTTAAAACGTAATTCCATTGTAATTTTCTTTGAGTGTAACCACTCAGGTATTTCACAGTAGGTTGACGCTTACAGTTGAGGACGGGGCAATTCCAGTGTTTGTGGTGGGGAGCAGTGAGTTCTGGGAGCTGGGTGGACTGGGCTCAGGTTCGATGCTGGTCCAAGCAGACGGCACCTCCACAGGCTGGCAGGAAGAGGAGGATGGAGGTGAAGATCCTGAAGCGCAGGGAAGAAGTGAGGCAGATGAGGGTGGAGAGGAGTCCACCGGAGCCACCGGCACTGATCCCAGATCCAGCAGGTCAGTGACGGAGACCGGGTCCTCGCCTGGCCTACAGGACAGAAAAAGACAGATGCAAGCGTCAGGGTTGTCATAGTCTAATGTACAGAACTCAGAACTCCCTGACCAAAGCAGCAAAAACACTTATGCAGTAAGCAGAGAAACTTATATAAGCCTGAAGGTACAGAAGCAAAAACTGTACATTTAATGCCAAGGATCAATGAGAGGGAGGAAAACTGTCATGCAAAACTAAAATGCTTTCCACTGGTATTCTAAGTGGACTTTAGAGGGAAAAATTCAAATGAGAGCAATCTATATACTATGGCCTTTTTTTATTAAAAAAATTAAAATAAAATATAGACAGATACATGTACACATTCAGCTTTCATGACATTTGTTTTCCCTTGTGTTCTAAGATACATTTTATCAAATAAAACAGAATAAATAAACAGGTACACAGTGTCCTTTTGGTAAATTTAATTAAAAATACAATTCTAGTAATGTATATAATATGGCCTTCTTGAACTAAATAAAATAAAATATAGATAGATGGGTAATAACATGGTACACTGTATATACGCCTTCTGTCTGTCCTTGAGTTCTAAGGTAAATTTAATAAACAGATTCCTCTCAGTGTGGACTCACAGCAGGCCATTCATATGTTCAGCAGTAGGAGAGACATAGTCATCATCTTCACTAGTAAGCCCCAGCTCAGTGCCGTAACACTGGTGAACGATGTGCCATAGCTCTTTAGGAGACAGAGTCTGTGGAGTAGAGGTGGTGACACAGCATTTAAAACTTTAAAAGCACCATTTCATGATATAATTCAGTTTGTTAAGGCTAATAGCTACCAGCGTAATAAGGCCCAAAAAAAAATCATGCATAACGCAAAATTGGTTGAAATAGTACAATGTAAAAAAATATATATTTTAATTTTAAATGTAAAACACTGTAAAAAATTCTACAGTAAAAAAACTGTTAATTGGTTAACAGATGAAATGGTGAAAAACTAATAAATAACTGAAAAACGTATAAATATAGTTATTTAATATTATTAGAAAACCTATAAACAATTTACAGTGAAAAAACGTAAATATAATTTTTTTTTTGTAAATTACAATGTTAAACTGTAAAATATGCAGGTTGCTTTGTAAAGATGTTTACATTTTTTGCTGTATTTTTAGAGAATTATTCTGGCAACCACAACTGCCAGTTCCTTTCTGTAAAAACGACTATTCATTTTAATTGCAGATTGTATTTAGCTATTTTAATAATAATAAAGTATATTTCTAATCAACATTCCCACTGACTCTGTTTGACGTTTCAACTACAATGCGTTCTGGAATTAGCTTACTTAAAAATGCTGCCTTGAAAGGCAACTTACTAGAGTTTGGAGTTTAGAGTTTTATCTAAAAAATAATAACCTACTGTTGAATGATTTTAAGATAGTTTATTTTTTAACTAAAACCTGAACTACAAGAAAACATTCCAGACATAGCAGTTGTTGAATGTTAGTTGCAACAATAATAGCCGCAGAACCTTTATATTAGTGTTCAGTTCTAACAGATAAGCTTGCAGAAGATGTTGTAGCCTTGCATTGCAATGCAGTTCTGGAATTAGCTTACTTAAAAATGCTGCCTTGAAAGGCAACTTACTAGAGTTTAGAGTTTTATCTAAAAAATAATAACCTACTGTTGAATGATTTTAAGATAGTTTATTTTATTATAGTTTATTATACTCTGTAGTCACCACCTGCATCTTGCCAGGTGCTAATTATAATGGACAATCGCCAAGCAATGTTGGTCACCTGCCAAAATGAAATTGTCAACACACGACAAATACACAGCACTGATTCTGACAGGAGACTTCAAATGGTTGTGTCTTTTATACAGATAAAATGTGCACTGTCTGTCACTAGTGCAATTCTCACCTTATCCATCAGTGCATTCTGCCATAGTCTGAAGATCATCATGTAGCTGCGATCCCTGGCCCCAAATGATGTGAAGAAGTGCTGACGAATGCAAGATCGGATTTTAATCAAGGCAGAACATTTATTGTCTTAGGAGGTTCAAAATGCAGCTAACAAAAGAAATCAATTAATGGTCATTCTAGCATGCATATCCAATGTCTGCAGCGCGGTACCTTCTCATGTTCAGTGCTTATCTGGATGGCGTTAGGGATGAGCTTGGCCGTCTTCTCCTTGGTCAGACTGGTCACATCTTTCAGCAGTATGGTTATCTGGTGATATTTAGAGAGAGAATCAACAAAGGATTTATAAATGATGTCTACCTCAGCTAATGGATCAGACTAAAGGTTGCACAAATATGCTAATTAATATCTATGAACTACCATGTGAATGTTTTGGGTAAGTAAGAAATGTATACTTTTATTCAGCAATGGACAGTAAAATCATTCATCTTATAAAAGATTTTCATGTTACAAAAGAAAAATGTTCTGTTCTTTTGAACTTTGTAATCAACGAATCCTGAAAACAAAAACACAAAATATTAAGCAACACAATTGTTTTCAACATTGATAAGCAAAATGTTTCAACATGTCAAATCAGCATATTAGAATGATTTCTAGAGTAATGGCTGCTAAAAATTCAGCTTTGCATTCACAGGAATAAATTACATTTTAAAATATGTTAAAGAAGAAACTGTAATAATATTTCACAATATTACTGCTTACTGTTACTGTATTTCGGCATAAATAAATGCATTGGTGAACATAAGAGACTTAAATCTTACAGCCCCCAACCTGTTGAACAGTAGTGTAATGTATGCTATACTGTGTGCGGTACTTTCTTAAAATACATATATAATTTTAATACAAATATATATTAATGTGAATACTTACGGATTCATTTTTATGTAAGAGAGTACTTTTAGTTTTTCCATTTTATTTCCATTAAAACCATCCTGTTTATATAAAGTTTTACTAATTGCATATAGGATGTTAAGTTTGACTTAATTTGATGTTAAACAACAAATATTGTTTTGATTCAAACAAATGCACACATTTTTTTGTTGCACTTCATTTGACTGACATGACATTTACCAGCTACTAGATTATACAAATTATTGTTGATTATTTCCAATATTGATCATTATCAATTAGTTGTTACAGCAAAAGTCAATGTTTTCAGTAAAGTGAGGGTTACCGTAGTCTCCCATCGGAAGATATTACTATAGAAGCAGAGCCAGTTCTCAGACAGGTAGAGACGGCCCTGGAGTAGAATGTCCCTCTGCAGTGCACATGAGTAGTCTAGATAGAAAACAACATAAAATGAACACAACCAGAGGCCATGTGATCATCACACTGTGCTGCGCTTAAAATAATATAACTCATTACGTTCCTTGGCTTTACTCATGAAGTAGTGACACTCACCCACTATGAGACGCTCTGTATCAGGCAGCTTTTTAAAGAGTTTACGGAAGTCTTCATTCCTCTGTTTGTACGTAGGGCTCAGAACCTATATATCAGACAGAGATATGAGCGGAGAAAACCAGCACTGTCAGCTAAGGCAAAAACACAGAGGCGTGAACTTGCCAAGACCCCAGGATACTTACATTATACCAGCTCTGCATTTTCTGAAACAAAGAGGAAAAGATGAATAAGGGTCTTGATTTCCATTTTTATTTTTCAAAGATTACATTAATTGCATAAACATGTACAAGCTCAGTTTAAAGTGAACAATCAAAATGGACCCTACCCCATTTTCTTTTTTAATGATTGTTATCTGTCTTACTGTGCACAATTCATAAGTGCATATTATTCCAAAAAAAAAAATATATATATATATATATAAAAATAAAAAAAAAGGTACATATGTTTCAACCAGTGCATGCTGTCTGTGTATCAGCATACTGACTGCAAACCTGAATATCCAATGCAGATTCTTCATGCCTAATCAATCCGTGATGTACACTACTGGTCAAAAGAAAATTAAAACTTATTTGTGATTTCTGAAGGGTGATGTGACACTGAAGACTGGAGTACTGGCTGCTGAAAATTAATTATTATAAAATATAAATATTATAAAGAAATATGTCACATTACAGAAGTAAAATGCTTGAAAAAAAAATATATATATATATATATAAAAATAAAAAAAAAGGTACATATGTTTCAACCAGTGCATGCTGTCTGTGTATCAGCATACTGACTGCAAACCTGAATATCCAATGCAGATTCTTCATGCCTAATCAATCCGTGATGTACACTACTGGTCAAAAGAAAATTAAAACTTATTTGTGATTTCTGAAGGGTGATGTGACACTGAAGACTGGAGTAATGGCTGCTGAAAATTAATTATTATAAAATATAAATATTATAAAGAAATATGTCACATTACAGAAGTAAAATGCTTGTGTTAACTAGGACCTGTTTAATCTTCTGTTTAAATTTTTTTTTTTAATCTTTCAGAACAATTTCTAAATAAATGTTTGCAACACTTGCATTCTTCCTGCCTTATTCATTCAGAACAGAACAGCAATACAGCGCTCAGTAATGTGGGTGGAAGAGCAAGCACCCATCATATCAGACATTCAGATGATATTCAGACATTTAGAGTGAGGACCATTAACCAATCTCACCAGGCGAGAACGTGGCTTACCTTGGCATTGCGGGTGAAGTGTCGGGCTGCGAGCGGGTAGGAGGAGGTGGATGAGGAGGGAGTGGGAGGCAGGGGGCTCTCTGAACCCCCTCCGCTTCTGTCCCCACCAGTCTCCCCTTCACTGGCTCTTCCTCCCAGCACACGGCGGCGCAGGGAGGGCGAGCTGCCAGGAGTACTGCGTGGAGAGTTACTGGCGGTACTGCAGGTGGAGGAGAAGTAAGGTCAGAAAGGAGACACAGACAGTCATCTGGCATTCCAGCACTGCTCTTCAACATCCCTTAAAGGGCAACTGGGTCATGTACAAGGAAACGACAGAAAGGACAAGGTTTATCCACTATTTACCAAACAGCATGTATTGATTACAACTAACTGATATGGTTTACAACATACAGTATGTAAGTTAAGGAGCGACTCTAGCCTCTAAGATGTTTCAAAACGCAATCAATCTGATATTATGAAGAATTTTAGAGAGCACACTTATGAACAAACTGAAAGAATGTGCAGTATGGGTCCTATATTATGATTTCAGGTCGAAGCCCAAGAATAAAGAGCATATGTATATGAATAACAATCGTTTCCATAGTAGCATTCCATTCCTGTTCCAGTAAAATAAAGGTGACAACACAGATAGGGGCTTCTGTACACAAACACAAAGCCTTATCTGTTCACTAACATTTGATCAGTCTGATGAGACATTTAAATGCCAAATATATGAGACCTGTTTAGTCAAAGGAGTGCTGGTAGTGGCTTTAAGGCATGTGAAATCAATCATTAATACCAGTTGTTCTTACTGTGGTTGGGTGATACAGCAAAAACAAATAAGTAAAAAATAAATATATGTATACATTATATATATATATACACGATGTCACCATGATTCATAACGTTAAGATGTAAAAACAAAAACAGTAAAAGTGTATTTAATGTTTTACACTAATAGACCATAAAATCCCAGGAAGAATCATAATTAATCGATAATTTCCATTTATATGCATCAATATAACAATACTTATTAAAAAATAGCAATATTTACCTACAGATATTTTACTAAAATATATGAAAATTGGCTTTCGTGCAAACACTGCTGTCTTAAAAAGAGAGCCTCAAGACAAGAATGGATCACAAACCAATGATGTGAATTTTAGGAAATGTGATGGTCAAATAGCAAGCGAAAAACTGTTAAGAATATATTGTGTATATTTAATAAATCACCCTGTACTACTTGCTACTATATAACAGAGAATGCAAACCATTAAAGACTACAACATTAATGGAAATCAACTAATGCCAGGACTGCATTTGAAATATCTAATAAATATTCTGCCTTGACCAACTTTGACCACAAGTTTTCCTGTATGTAATGCATTTGAGTGGATGAGTTCAGTCAGTTCGAACTAAATGTTCAGTGCAAGAAAGGTTTTTGAAACTATCTTGCAAAACACCATACAAATACATAACACACAGTCACACTTCAGGACATCAATTACACATGTCTGCTTCAAGATGAGAGTCACAGAAGACAATAGCGTCACTAACAACAGTCAGACCCTTACTAAAAAAAGCACTGTGGCAGTTTGTAAGGTAACCAAATTTCCAAATATGGGAGGGACCAAAAGTAAAATTTAGAAATCACAAATTGAAAAACCCATATTGATCAAGCACTAATCTAAATATGTCGCAGAAAAGTATAACAAAAGATATCTCATGATAGATAATCACAGTTTAATTCAACTTCTCTTCCACTACTTTTTATCAAATCATCTATAAGGTCTTATTGATTACTGTACTTTATCTTTAACAACTTTGGCCTCAGCCAGTTCATATCTGCTTGGATCCCAGTCTTACTTTGTCTTGGTAACAGAGGGAAGGGGGGGGGGGGGGGGGTCTCAAATATCGGAGTCTCCAAGGTAACCTTGCAGGATCAGGAGAACACACTTCTCACTTAACTTGTTGGTCTAGTGGTTTCAAAAGTGAAATGTATGCAAGCACACAGCAAACCAAAAGGTATGAGCTGGAATAGTCACTTTTATTTGTCAGCAAAACCAGAGTCACACAGATCCTACCAAAAGTGAAAGAGCAGTAAAACAGCATGCAATCTCAATAAGATCCAACAATAGCCAGAACAAATGCCCAAATATAAAACCATTTTTTGGCATTCGAAACTAAAGAGTAACAGCTTTTTAACGGTAAGACTCATTTAAATTCAAACTCAAAACAAATTACTGATGGAAACCCCAATTTCAGTGAACTGGTTCTTTTGTTTTGATCAAAAAATCCTTCAGTGATTCTATTGCATCATGACATAATCACAAATGTTATTTATTGACAGCCACTCCGTTTATTTTGATTAAATTGTCATTCAATCAAATTGTTAATAAGTATTTTTGGTACATTATTTAAATCCTCGCTTTACTCTAAATGCTCTATCAACTCACTCATCGATTCTCAGCACATCACGAATCGGACACGTGTTCTCAGCTCAATGAATCAATGAGTTGTTGACTCCAGAACCGCTTGGAACGATTTAGTTAAAGGGGTCCAATTATGCTTTTTCACTTTTTTAATTTTAATCAGTGTGTAGTGTGTATGTTTGGGCATAAAAAAGATCTAGAAAGTTACAAATCTCCAAAGTCCACTCCAAAGGGAGATATTTCGTTTTTAAAAAATCCCTTTTTAAGAACTACAACCGAACGGCTCGTTTGGACAACAGTGTTTGTTTTCCGGGCTTTGTGATATCACAAAGCAGCCCATTAGAATATCATTATCAGAATTATCAAAATAATTCCCGCCTACAGAAATTCAAATGGTTGGGGGGTGGGGTGGGGAGGGGCGAGGTTGTGGTTAGAACGCTTGGTTGAGTGAGTGCATCAGACGAGACGACGAAGAAGAAGTGCTGCTGGTGCATCAGTGCATCAGAGAAAACGAAGAAGAAGAGCTGCTGTGCTGTAGCTTCAAATTTTCGGCATGTCTAGAACAAAGTACAACACGACGTAGCTGGGCGCCGCGGACAGACGCCGCCAAAGTGCCTACACTCATAGAAAATAATGTATTTGAATTTTAAAGATGTGGCGCGATGCTGCGCTTCTCGTCCGGTGCGCAACCGCCTGAAACGCTGTTTTTTTCACCTCCGTGCCCAAACGTCTTTGTTCAGGAAAAAGTGGTTGCAATTTATTTTGCTATTTTTAACTCTGTCCCTGAGCATTATAACCCTAATTTGCTATTGTGTGCTGCGCATTTTACTGAGGACAGCTTCCACAACATGAGGGAGCACAGTGCCTGGCGGCTTCGCCAAAAAGCTTTTGTTGAAAGACGGAGCAAGGGGCGTGGCAGTACTGAAACACCGTCTAAGCTGTTCGCCAATCACAACGCACTGGGACAGCTAACCAATCACAACACATTTTGTTTTTCGGAAGGCGGACCTTCATCAAAGTCGAATCTAACCGAGCCATTTGTGCCAGGATGGGGAGAAAGGTATTTTAATAATGTAAATTATGTGAAAAATAATGCGTTTTTCGAACCACCAAGCATGAGAGCATGTTCTAGTACCCCCCCAAAACAAAATCAAGACTTTGTTAAAAGAGCATAATAGGACCCCTTTAAATAGGTGAACGAGTCGTTCAGCCTGATTTAATGGACCGGTTCGATCGATTCATTTAAAAGATTCGACTCAATTGAATCGGACATCGCTACAGCAAACGTCAAATAGAATGAACGGGCGGTCTAATGCTGAAGCTAAAAAAATACTAATGCTAGGAGCTTCAGCAGCTGGCATCTACACTGCGTAAACCAATGCAAATGTGCAAAATAATACATGCACTTTGTCATTTAAATAAAGTAAACGCATTAAGAAAGATGGGATTTGCATGCAGAACGTGCACAAAGTAAAACTACAACAAGCGCCAATCTGATCCTCAGTGCTGAACGTGCATTTATGCACACCGGGACAGAGCAAACAGAGAATGTCGATGTCATCAGTGCGGTTTGGGGATGCAATCGCAGTTGCATGCGTGTTAACGCCTTAACAACCTACTACTGCTCTGTGATGCAAGAAAAACGGGTAAAAGTGAACGGTCAAACAACATTAGCATACGGGTGTGTAGAAACAACAACATTCGCATGCATTGCATAAAATAACTAGCCCATTTGCTACTTACTCGAACATGTCATTGGGTGTTTTCTCAATTCAATGCGCGATACCCACGTTTATTTTACAGTAGCCTCTCAGTATGGCACTGCGCCTACACAACAGACGGTACATTCAGATTAACTAGCCGAATGCATTCGAGACACTGCGTCCTCTGTTCATCTGCAGTCCGTTTTAGTCCAATAAAACGCGATCGTTCAACATCCCCATCCCAAAAGAGGTACTGGACTCCCTGTAACACGCAACGACCACAGCGGTCCCACCATGAGCGCTCCGGCTATCCTAAAGCAACCTACACACTGGGTAAGAGAGGGAGGGGGAGGAGAAAAGAGGATGAACTGTGTGGAGGAGGGAATCAACACCGTTTAAGGCAGTGGCCCTCTCTTTACCACCACACACCAGGGCCAAACCATAGGGGATTATGCTTAGAGTTTATGTCAAAGCACTTGAGTCAGTAAAACTGGATTGAAATGCTTTGCTGATGGACTGGATACCTGGAGTTGGCAAGGACACAGTCATTCAAATTAAGGGAATCAATCCCGTTCCCAGTTTGTATCGAGACCGTACAGTGCATTATAATCCTCAGAGGTCTGGCTGTCTCCATAATCTGTTTTCCTGGGAGAGGCTGCCATAATCTCAGTAAGAAGGGTGAAGGGAGGCCAAGACATATAGATATACAAATACAGATTTGCATGTAAAAAAAAATCCAAGTTAGGATCCTAAATCATATGCAGCCATTACAGCAATGGATAAAAGTAAATAAATGCAAAAGTATCAATTTTGCTCCAAGCATCTTCACTAATATAAAAACAATACTGAGTAAATTTCATGTGATGTGCTCAAGGATACAAGAACAGTTATTTTTAAACAGAGACTAATTCTAACACTTTTAATTAAATAATTAAATTACTTGTACAATACTTCATACTTCAAGAATTACTTGGACTGTGTGTGTGTGTATCTATTACCATGTTTCTTGCCGTCTTTATACATGCAACTAAGGAAGGAGTCAAACCCTTTTCCAGTGGTAAATTACATGATGCCACAGATACTGT